AAGCGTGGTGCGGTCTCGAAAGAAGGAGCGGGAAGCACCCGAGTCAAGAGTGAAGGTGTGTAAGGCCTGAGACGACGTGGTACCTGAGAGAGCAGACTCACCAGCACCTGGGGCAGCAGACGCACTAGCACCTAGAGCAGCAGCCTCACCAGCACCTAGAGCAGCAGCCTCAATGCCCGGGTCAGGCGGAACACACAGGTAACAGTCACCCTCATCACTAGTAGGCAATGCATACATGGCAGTGAGGATAGCATCATAGTCAAGAGTATAGATATCTACCCGCAGCCGAAGCAGCTCCACCCATTTTGGGAGCTCAGCCGCGTCGCCAAACTCCGTACGCCAGGCGTCGCTCAGACGGGCGAAGCAGCGGGACTCTGCGTGACCCAACGTCCCGCAAGGCTGACCAGTCCGAGCACCAGCGCGAATGACGTACGGACATCGAGCAGTACCCCGTGACCCGTCACGCTGAGCGTACCACTCACGAAGCTGCTGGGGCGAAAGGACTGCTCGCGGACGACGCTGAAGCTGCACCTGGCCACTACAAGCAGCTGCCGAACTACTCACTCCAGGACGACTCCCACTACGGCCACCCCGACAACCCCAACTAGCGTACCACTCACGAAGTTGTTGGGGGGTGAGGGACTCACGCGGGCGACGCTGCAGCTGCACCTGGCCACTACAAGCAGCTGTGGAACTACTCACTCCAGGACGACTCCCACTACGGCCACCCCGACAACCCCAACTAGCGTACCACGCACGAAGCTGTTGGGGGGTGAGGGACTCACGCGGGCGACGCTGGAGCTGCATCTGGCCACGCCAGGAGCAGCAGTAGCAGTAGAAAGAGCAGCAGCAGTAAGAGCAGCAGTAACAGCAGTACGGGCAGGGCAGTGCTCACCAGTGGCGAGAAGGGCAGGCGTACGACGGCGGCAACGGCGAGGCCGCTACCACTGTAGAGCGAGAGCTCCGCGGCAGCTGCAGGGGTGGCTGCTCCAGGGGCGGCAGATGTAGGGGCGACTGCTCCAGAGGCGGCTGCTCCAGGGGCGGCTGCTGCAGTGGCGGCTGCTCCGGGGGCGGCTGCTGCAGTGGCGGCTGCTCCAGGGGCGGCTGCTGCAGTGGCGGCTGCTCCAGGGGCGGCTGCTGCAGTGGCGGCTGCTCCAGGGGCGGCTGCTGCAGTGGCGGCTGCTCCAGGGGCGGCTCGGCTGCTGGGCGACTCGGCGGCTCAGCTGCTGGGCGGCTCGGCGGCTCGGCTGCTCGCTAGGGGCGGCGACGGGGCCGGGTAGGGGCAGCGACGGGGCCGCTAGGGGCGGGGAGCGGCGACGGGGCCGCTAGGGGCGGCGACGGGGCCGCGTAGGGGCGGCTACGAGGCCGCGTAGGGGCGGCGACGGTGCCGCGTAGGGAGGGAGGCGGCGACGGGGCCGCTAGGGGCGGCGACGGGGCCGCGTAGGGGCGGCTACGAGGCCGCGTAGGGGCGGCGACGGGGCCGCGTAGGGAGGGAGGCGGCGACGGGGCCGCTAGGGGCGGCGACGGGGCCGCGTAGGGGCGGCGACAGGGCCGCGTAGGGAGGGAGGAGGCGACGGGGCCGTTAGGGGCGGCGACGGGGCCGCGTAGGGGCGGCGACGGGGCCGCGTAGGGGCGGCGACGGGGCCGCGTAGGGAGGGGAGCGGCGACGGGGCCGCTAGGGGCGGCGACGGGGCCGCGTAAGGGCGGCGACGGGGCCGCGTAGGGGCGGCTACGGGGCCGCGTAGGGAGGGGAGCGGCGACGGGGCCGCTAGGGGCGGCGACGGGGCCGCTAGGGGCGGCAACGGGGCCGCGTAGGGGCGGCGACGGGGCCGCGTAGGGGCGGCGACGGGGCCGCGTAGGGAGGGGAGCGGCTACGGGGCCGCTAGGGGCGGCGACGGGGCCGCGTAGGGGCGGCGACGGGGCCGCTAGGGGCGGCGACGGGGCCGCGTAGGGGCGGCAACGGGGCCGCGTAGGGAGGGAGGCGGCAACGGGGCCGCTAAGGGCGGCGGCAGGGCCGCTAGGGGCGGCTACGGGGCCGCGTAGGGGCGGCAATGGGGCCGCTAGGGGCCGCAAGGGGCCTGGAAGGGCGGCAACGGGGCCGCTAGGGGCGGCGACGGGGCCGCTAAGGGTGGCGCGAGGGGCCGTGAGAGGGGCCTCTAAGAGAGCTCGACAGAAGGGCGGCCCACAAGGCGCGCCTCGGGCAGGAGCGACTGTCGCTCCGGTCAGAAAAAAAAAGGTTTCAGTGGTGGGCCCAAGGAAGCGTTCCCACTAGGGAACCTGCTCTATACCATGTGAAGAAATAAGGAATGGATTGACTAAGGGAAAGTTGGGTACAAAAGCAAACCCTAGAAAACTGTACCCCATATGTGCTACCCCACTATAGCCTACAGTAGCTATGTCATATAAATCTGACACCAATGTTTAGCAGTAGGAACGCACCGCACCGCTTTCTCAGGCACATGATTGCCTCATAGTACAATCGTCGCATTACGAGTGGTCTTCAACTAACACATCTCGTCCTCATTCGCGCAGACGTACTGCCAAAACTACAAGGCCAGCTTCTAAAGATGCTCTCGCAGTCTCGCGCTGACTCAACGATCCAAACATACGAGCCATACTGGGTCAAGTTTCGAGCCTTCTGTGCAAAGGTGAACCTCCCATTCCTCCCCGCGGCGGACATGACCCTCGCACTGTACTTGGTGTACGCCATCAAACGCAAAGCCACCCTATTTATGGTACAACTTACATGCTCAGCCGTGAGCTTCGCCCACCGCATGACCGGGAGCGCATGCCCAACGGCAGGACCATTCACCACTCAAGTACGCGACTTCGCAAAAAGGCATTGTCCTCGCCCCACGAGAGTGAAGGAGCCCGTCTCGCTGCAACAAGTTCGTGACATGTCTGCTGGATACCTGCAATCTGACAACCCTGGGGAATTCCAGAAAGGGCTCATCCCCATTCTCATGTACTCCGGTTTCCTGCGATATTCGGACCTCGTCGCTATAGAGTGGCAAGACATCCAGTTCGAAGACGAGGTCATGTGGATCCTCATTCCGTACTCCAAGACGGACCAAGCTGGAAAGGGCACATGGGTACCTATCGCTGCAACACACGATCCCTTCTGCCCTGTCCGCTGCACTCGACGACTTATTCGACTCGCAGGATATGACCAGCAGTCGGGGGGGGCGTTGATTCGCATCTTCGGTCACAGTTCCACCCAAGGTGGCCAAGCAAGGCCACCCTCAAATCCACAATCCGAAACTGGTGCAAAGAGGCCTTCGGGAAGATCGGACTTCGAGAACAGCAGCTGGGAACTCATTCCTTTCGCAAGGGTGCAGCCACTGCCGCGGCAAACACCGGCGTGCCAGACAGAATCTTCAAACGACTGGGCAGATGGCGTAGTGACGCAGCAAAGGAGATGTACGTCACGCCTAACGCTGAACATCTCGTCAACGCCTCCCGCCAGTTGCAGGACTTGAATCACGCCCCGTCTCCAGCACAGCACGCAGCGGCACTCATCCGTCATCGAAAACCCCTGCTACCCATGTCTCAAGGACCCCAGTTGAAATGAGAACGATGCCAAATCATAAGAGAAAGCAAGCTTTCTAAATATTATAATTTTTAAACACACGAAGTGTTTTTCAAAATTTCGTATTTCAAAAGCGCAGCTGCTTGTAACACATGTTTTGGCATCGTCGAAGCGCGCTAAACGCCCTTCTCCAACTACAAATCGTGGGTTGGAGCTCATTTCCCTCCACCCACGTCTCTCATTTTTCCAACGGCTCATACAACTCTCCCACCCCCCGCCCCAACATCGATGGACATCACGGACGCTGTTTGAACACGAAGATGGATAGCCAGTAGCATAATAGATAGCGAGTATAATGATTAATAGCTAGTACAATGATTGATACGTAGTATAATATGTACTAGCACTTCTGTTTCCTAGCTTGAGATGCATGTTGTAATGAGAACAGTTGAAATGAGAACGATGCCCGGTTGAAATGAGAACGATGCCAAATCATAAGAGAAAACAAGCTTTCTAAATCGGTGGAATGAACTCATGTGCATCGTCGTACACGCTATTGAGTGACCGTGTAAGTCGCTAAGAATAAGGAGCTTACTAGATGCATTCCACTTGGCCAATGTTTATATCATTTGAGGCTTGCATAGTATATTCAGTAATACGTACTGATTTCACAGCTGATCAAACACAGCACATGAATCTCTCTGCACAGATCCATCAAGACTGGGAGTGCGTTGTGCTGGCAGACGACGGCCTGCGGTCAAAATTGAGCGACGCCTTATCAAAGATGTATCCGAACGTCCAATCATACGATGCCACGTCGACACAGGAAGCTAGCGTGGGGTTCCTCCGCATGGCAAGCTTCCGTGCCATGGTGATCCGTGCAGGCAAGGGCAGCTGGTTGAGAGCCCACTCCAAGAGACCAGCATCTGAATCTGCAAAGTCAGAGGCGTGCCTGGAGGGAAACGAGAGGGTACCGTAGATTGAGCAGATGGGAACACGGAAAGCTTTCTGGGGCGCCTTAAGTATGATGCAGGCAGGCGCAGGGAGCAGCCCATTCCAAGATGCCAGAATTCAAGGCTGCAAAGTCAGACGAGTGCCTTGATGGAGAGAGGGGGTAGATTGACAGGGAAAGGGAAAGCGACTTTCAAGGCATGTGAAGAACCCCTGCAGGCAAAAAGACTTCCAAGGCACCATCAGTACCGGCACCAGCACCAGCACCAGCAGCAGGATCAGCCATCTCACTGACCATTTGAGGAGGCGGGGGAGGCAGACACGGTTATCAGCAGTCATGCCAATGCAGCTGGCGAGATAGAGGTCTCTGGCATGCTCCAGCTGCGAGTGCAGGGAGTGCGGCAGGTAGGCTCGCAGCACAGCACCAGCACCCGAAGCAACACCCCACACACCAACACCAGCACCAGCACCAATACCAGCACCAGCAGCAGTACCGGAATGAGTGGAATTACAGCATCACTCACCATTTTAAGAGGCGGGGGAGGCACACGCGGTTGTCAGCAGTCATGCCGATGCAGCTGGCGAGGTAGAGGTCTCTGGCGTGCTCCAGCTGCGAGAGCAGTGAGTGCGGCAGGTAGGCGCGCAGCACAGGCGCGCTGAGGGATCCCGGCGACAGAGCAAACGCCACCAGCGGCTCCGCCTCCCCCACCACCCACTGCTGCCTCGGATCATCTGCTGGGAAGGGCGTGGCGTTCAGTGCCTTGGCCTGGGAGATGGGAGGGGGGAGGCAGGAGTGGGACACATGGGGAAGACAAGGGTCGCAGGTGGGTGGGAAGAGGACATGAGGGTGAATGGGAGGAAGAGAAGAGAGGCAATACAAGCGGGGAAGTGCAGGGAGTGCGGCAGGTAGGCTCGCAGCACAGGCGCGCTCAGAGATCAGCGGCAGAGATCGGCAACAGAGCAAACGCCACCAGCGGCTCCGCCTCCCCCACCACCCACTGCTGCCTCGGATCATCTGCTGGGAAGGGCGTGGCGTTCAGTGCCTTGGCCTGGGAGATGGGACGGGGGAGTCGGGAGGGAGACCTGGGGGGAGCCAGGAGTGGCAAGGGGAGGGGGACACGTGCGAAAACCCTAAACCCTGTCAATGAAAAGATTTGGATTTGCGCACCTTGGCCTGGGAGACGGGAGGGGGGAGGCGGGAGGGAGACGTGGGGGGGGGCAGGAGTGGCAAGGGGAGGGGGACACGTGCGAAAACACTTAACCCTGTCAATGAAGAGGCTTGGATTTTCGCACCTACGCCTGGGACATGGCGGGGGGAAAGGCAGGAGAAACACAGGGGAGAAATGCGCAGAGCTTCTGAGACATCTTAAATGTCTCCAGGCTCAGCACCCCCTGCTGAATCTGGTCGCTTTCAAGAAAGGGTGTGCGTTCAGTGCTTTGGCCTGGGACGAGAGGGGAGAGGCGGAGGGGACCGAGCAGCTGAGGCGAGGGCGGAAGCAAGGGCTTGCACTCGCAGATATGGGAGCATGTGGAACTGGGGAGAAGGAGGAAGAGAGCCAAAGAAGAGCGCGGGGTATTGCACTGTAAGTCAGTAGGACAGTGGCACCCAGAAGTACTCACCAAGGCGAGGGCCTGGCAGCAGGAGCTCTTAGAAAAGCGAATTCGATGTCGGTGGTTGTCTGCCACTGCATGGCCCTTGAGTCCACTTGTGGTTGCTTTGTGGGTGCGGCAGTGGTATGAGCTGAGCAGTACTTACCAGAGGAGAGGGCCTAGCAGCCGGCGCTCTGAGAATGGCAAACTCAATGTCGGTGGCTGTGACTGTATGGCCCCCAATGCTGTATGACGCCTGGCGTGTGGAGGATAGGGACGGGTGTGTTGAAGGGGACAAGGTGAGGTGAGGTGAAGTGCGGTGGGGTGAAGTGCAGTGGATTGAAGTGAAATGAAGTGGGAAGGACTGCAGAGGTGGAAAGTACAGGAGCAAGGTACTGAGTGGTTGGGCACTGCAGCTTATGAAGGAAGAGATCCACCATGTACATTGCCAGATCTACTCATCAGGAGTAAGGACTCACAGTTTGCAGGTGTTTTTCTGAGAGCTTTCAAAAAAACACCTGCAGTGCCAAAACTGCTCATCGGGAAAAGGACTCACGGTCTGCAGCAGGGCAATGCGGCGCAGGTGAGTGTCGGGACAGCCGTTGGTGATGTACGTCTGATCAAGGATGGGATGGGAGAGGGGGTAAAAGGGGACGGAACCAGACAGGGTGTAAGGATGAAGGGTGCAGAACATGGCATGTTTCAAGAAGGTAGGTTTGAGAACTCTTTAGACTGACTCATTTTATACCGAGAGCAGGAGTGCAACATACCGAGAGCAAGAGTGCAACATACCGAGAGCAAGAGTGCAACATACCGAGAGCAAGAGTGCAACATACCGAGAGCAAGAGTGCAACATACCGAGAGCAAGAGTGCAACATACCGAGAGCAAGAGTGCAACATACCGAGAGCAAGAGTGCAACATACCGAGAGCAAGAGTGCAACATACCGAGAGCAAGAGTGCAACATACCGAGAGCAGGAGTGCAACATACCGAGAGCAGGAGTGCAACATACCGAGAGCAGGAGTGCAACATACCGAGAGCAGGAGTGCAACATACCGAGAGCAGGAGTGCAACATACCGAGAGCAGGAGTGCAACATACGGAGAGCAGGAGTGCAACATACGGAGAGCAGGAGTGCAACATACGGAGAGCAGGAGTGCAACATACGGAGAGCAGGAGTGCAACATAACATACGGAGAGCAGGAGTGCATTGTACCGAGAGCAGGAGTGCATTGTACCGAGAGTAGGAGTGCATTGTACCGAGAGCAGGAGTGCATTGTACCGAGAGCAGGAGTGCATTGTACCGAGAGCAGGAGTGCATTGTACCGAGAGCAGGAGTGCATTGTACCGAGAGCAGGAGTGCATTGTACCGAGAGCAGGAGTGCATTGTACCGAGAGCAGGAGGGCATTGTACCGAGAGCAGGAGGGCATTGTACCGAGAGCAGGAGGGCATTGTACCGAGAGCAGGAGGGCATTGTACCGAGAGCAGGAGGGCATTGTACCGAGAGCAGGAGGGCATTGTACCGAGAGCAGGAGGGCATTGTACCGAGAGCAGGAGGGCATTGTACCGAGAGCAGGAGGGCATTGTACCGAGAGCAGGAGGGCATTGTACCGAGAGCAGGAGGGCATTGTACCGAGAGCAGGAGGGCATTGTACCGAGAGCAGGAGGGCATTGTACCGAGAGCAGGAGGGCATTGTACCGAGAGCAGGAGGGCATTGTACCGAGAGCAGGAGGGCATTGTACCGAGAGCAGGAGGGCATTGTACCGAGAGCAGGAGGGCATTGTACCGAGAGCAGGAGGGCATTGTACCGAGAGCAGGAGGGCATTGTACCGAGAGCAGGAGGGCATTGTACCGAGAGCAGGAGGGCATTGTACCGAGAGCAGGAGGGCATTGTACCGAGAGCAGGAGGGCATTGTACCGAGAGCAGGAGGGCATTGTACCGAGAGCAGGAGGGCATTGTACCGAGAGCAGGAGGGCATTGTACCGAGAGCAGGAGGGCATTGTACCGAGAGCAGGAGGGCATTGTACCGAGAGCAGGAGGGCATTGTACCGAGAGCAGGAGGGCATTGTACCGAGAGCAGGAGGGCATTGTACCGAGAGCAGGAGTGCATTGTACACGTTGATCCAGAAGACGAGCCTCTCTGTGTGTGAGAGAGTGGCGGGGTCGACCAGCCGCAGCTGATCCACATAGTGCCTGATGCAGGTGTGGGGGGGAATGGGAGAAGAAGGGGGTGTGTGTTTTGGTTCGATTCGAGCCTCTCCGTGTGTGAGAGAGAGGCGGGGTCTACGAGACGCAACTGGTCAACGTAGTGCCCGATGCAGGAACAGGGCAGAAAACAGGAGAGAACAGGAGATAACAGGAGATAACAGGGAAAAAGGAAGCTTGAAGGTGAGACTAGTGGGACAGGTTAAAAGGTCAGCTTGATACCGGGAGAGCTTTGTCATAGATTTGGCTATATTGGCCATATCGTACCGGTGTCTCTTGAGTGCTGCCACGTCAGCATGCACATATGCGCCTTCCCCAGGTACAGCCTCCACCACCACGAGCTCCCACCCTGCTCCTGATGCCCCCTCCCCTCCCCTCCCACTTCCTCCCATCTCCGCCCTCCCACTCCTCCCACTCCCCATCCCTGGCCCCATTCCCCCTTCCGCCAGCACCATTCCCCCCTCTCCTTCTCCCCCTCCGCCTCCCTCTGCTCCTCCCCCTGCCCCTCCCCCAGCTCCCCCCCAGGATCCTCTCCAAGCCTCTGCTCCATCCGAGCCTGAGGTTAGGACCCGCCGCCGGGGCCGGGGGGCAGCTTCGGCAGCGGCTGCAGCGGCAGCGAGGGCGGCAGCGGTGGTGGCAGCTGCAGCAGCAGTGGTGGCGGGGTAAAGACGGGTGTTGATGGGTGGGTGAGAGGGCTGGCTATCCCCTTCTCCTCCTGCCGCTCCTCCTACCGCTCCTCCTCCCACTGCTGCTCCTCTGCCCCTTCCACCACCACTGTTGCCACTGCCACCACCACCACCACCACCACCACCACCACCACCACCACCACCACCACCACCACCACCACCACCACCACCACCACCACCACCACCACCACCACCACCACCACCACCACCACCACCACCACCACCACCACCACCACCACCACCACCACCACCACCACCACCACCACCACCACCACCACCACCACCACCACCACCACCACCACCACCACCACCACCACCACCACCACCACCACCACCACCACCACCACCACCACCACCACCACCACCACCACCACCACCACCACCACCACCACCACCACTGCCGCCGCCAACATGCTTGGGGCCCAAGGGGGAGAAGGAGGGTGACGCAGCCGAGGGGGAGAAAGAAGCAGCACCACCTTCAGAGGGCGAAAGGCAGGAGGCGGCAAGGGGAGTAGGGCTCCTGGGGGGTCGGCCAGAGTTCGCGCCTTCAGAAGGGGAGAAGCAAGAAGCGGCATGAGGGGTGGGGCTCTTGGGTGGGCGGCCAGAGTAAGCGCCCTCAGAGGGGCTTTTGGGGAGGAGCAGCCGCGTGAGGATGGGGTTAGCTACGGTTGAGCCGCCCGGGTAGGCTGTGCCGTTTGGGTTGGGTGAGGTAGAGCTGGTCCGGGCAAATGGCTTGGTAGAAGCGGTTGGGTTTAACAGATTGTTAGGGGTGGACTCAGGTGGGAACTGCTTCTGCTGCTGCTGCTGCTGCTGCTGCTGCTGTGTGGACTCGTAGAGAGGGTGGAGAGGCAGAGAGGCGCCTACATCCAGTGGCGCCAATGGATGCTGTCTGACCGAGGGATTCTTTTTGGACGCTCTGGGATAGAGCAGCCCCGATTGGGACTTCCGAGGACGAGAGGGCTCAGGAGGAGAGGACTGAGAGGGCTGGGAGGGATATGAGGATTGAGAGGGCTGAGAGGGGTGAGAGGGCTGAGAGGGATATGAGGATTGAGAGAACTGGGGGCGGGAGGGGCCAGAATGAAAGGTGTGGGAGCGGGGAAAGTCAATGCCGGAGAGAGGCAGATGTGTTTGGAGAGCGTTGCTGGCAGGCAGGAGAGAATCAGTGCCCTCCCCGCCCCTCCATCCCCTGCTGTACGCACCACCCATGCGCCCCGCACCAGCAGGCATACCGGGAAACTTACCAGGGGCGGGTGTTGACGGGTGCACCGAGGAGGAGAGGCGCGCTGAAGGGGGGTGCAAGGGTGGCAGGTGCAGGGGAGGCGGGTACCTGCCTGGGACTCCGTCAGGTGCTGCTGCTGCTGCGAGCTTCCAGGTGCTGCTGATGGCACTCAGCTCAGCAGTGCTGCTGCTCTGTGCACGCTGCATCATCCTGCCTCCTCCTCTTCCACCTCCCCTCCCAGCACTGGTGCCAGGAAGACTGCTGCCCCCACCACCACCACCAGCAACAGCAGCAGAACCGCCGCTACTATCAGCAGCAGCAGCAGCAGCAGCAGCAGCAGCAGCAGCAGCAGCAGCAGCAGTGCCGTGTCCGCTGCCCATTCTTGCTCCTCGCCCTGCCATGGCACCCACCAACGGAGCCCTCCCTCCCTGCACCATCATCTGCCCTCTCCCTTGTTCCTTCCCCAGTCCCTGCTGCTGCTTCTGGTGCTCCTGAAACGCAAAAGAGGACGTCTCTAGCGCGGACTGAGAGTGCGGAATCAGCATCCTTCCATTCACGACCTTCACACCACCAACACCACTCCCACGGCTAATCCCACCGTCCCTCTTGCCACCACTCCCACCGCCACTCCCATTGTCGCTGTTGCCTCCCAGACTGTCAGAGTCTGAACCCTGGCTCCTCTCCTGGCTCCTCTCCTGGCTCCTCTCCTGGCTCCTCTCCTGGCTCCTCTCCTGGCTCCTCTCCTGGCTCCTCTCCTGGCTCCTCTCCTGGCTCCTCTCCTGGCTCCTCTCCTGGCTCCTCTCCTGGCTCCTCTCCTGGCTCCTCTCCTGGCTCCTCTCCTGGTTCCTCTCCTGGTTCCTCTCCTGGTTCCTCTCCTGGTTCCTCTCCTGGTTCCTCTCCTGGTTCCTCTCTGGGTTTCTCTCCTCAAGGGTGTCACCACACTGGGCGCTGCTGTCTGCTCGTCTGAGCACCCTCCGCTGGCTCAGCTGCTTCGGAGGCAGCTGCAGCGGCTTCCCTGGGCTGCGCTGCTCCAGCTGCTTCTCATTCTCCCGCTGCTTCTGCTCCCGCTGTTGCTGCTGCTGCTGCTGCTGCTGCTGCTGCTCCTGCACCTGCTGTTCTTGCTGCTGCTGTTGCAGTTTCAACTCTCCTGCCATCTCAACCAGACCCGCACCGTTCACTGATCTCGCCACTTCTTTCGCCTCGCCCACATCGCCAGCAGGGGCGAACGGGGAGGCGAGGGGGGAGATGGAGTCAGAGTCAGACAGCAGTGAGGCAGTGTCCAGAGGGGTCACAGCAGGTGGGCGCTGCAGGGAGGAGGGCGTTGCAGGGGTTGGCTTCACAATGGAAGAGGAGGGGTTGCAGAGGTTCTGGTGCCGTGGGCTGATTTCAGGGGAATTACCCGCTGAAAGACACTCATGCACCGATTCTACCCCCGACTTCACACCACAAGTGTCTAAAACTCCCTCACCTCCACCGCCTTCCGCCTCGCCTGTTGCTGCTGCTGCCCTTTCTTGCCCCTTCTCCCTGCCCCGCGTTCCTCCCTGGAACAGCCTCAGCAACCCACCCCGTACACCCTCCCTAGCACCATCTCCGTTATGAGAGCCTACAGACATTGACAGGGGAAATCTGGCTTTGGCTTTAAGATGAGGAGAGGACGGATTCGATTCCTTCGGCTCATCTCGTTGCCCTCTTACCCTGCTTCCTTCTCTTGCTCCTGCCTTTCCCCTCCCTCCTGTCCCTCCTGCATCATCTCGCTCCCCTGCTCCTTCCCCTGCTTCCCCTTCGCCATCCCCTCTCGGCTTCCTACCCAGGGACGACTTGTGAGGGGGGCGGGAGTGAGGGAGGGGCAGGGGGAGAGCAAGAGAGGACCAGGCGGAAGAAGAAGAAGAGGAAGAGGTGGTAGATAAGGGGGGCAGGCGAGGCGAGAGGGAGGAGGACACAGAGGTCGATGTAGACTCGCTGGCAGAGAAAGCAGCAGCAACCACGTCCCAAGGATTCTCGTTTTTGACTGAGATCGCCAGCAGCTCGAGAGATCTCGGGTCGAGAATACGTGCCACGTCCTCTCCCCCACCCCCGCCCCCACCCGCACTCCCTCCCCCTCCGCCTCCTCTTCCCCCGCGCCTGCAGCCGCTGACGCTGCTGCTCCTGCTACTGCTCTTCACAAGCCTACTCCCCTGCATGCTCCCACTCCTCCCTGCTACATCCCCTCCAAACCCTAAAACTGATCCATTCAACCCGGAGCCTGGCCCGGGCGGCATTTGTTGGCTGCGTCTGGCACTGAGCGCACTGTTCACGGAGCCCTGGCGAGGGAAGGCGGCAGCCATATCTGCCATCACCCCAAGCCCCCCACTCAATCCTCCCAAACTCCCTCCCAGACCTCCTAGCCCCCCTAGACTTCGCCTCCAGCTGCTTCTCCTCTCCCCTCCCTGCTCCGACGCCTGCCGAAACAGCTTCGGACTGGCCGCCTGCTGGGCTTTCTCCTGAGGATTCCCCTGCTCCCCTTCAGCACTTATCTCCCATTGCTGAGGTTTGACTGCTGTAGAGTCTTGGAGGGCCATGCAGCCTGGGGGTTGATCAGGGCTGAAAGCCTCTTCTCCTTCGGACGTGCTGCTGCTGTTAGGAGCCCTCGCCACATCCTCCGACCCAGCCGCATCACCAGCAGGTCCACCACCGGTATTGTTAGCGCCAGAAGCAGTGAAGGCAGGAGGAGGGCCAGCGCCGCCAGAGTCCTGAGTAGCGGGATCTAAGGCAGGGGCGCGGGATTTGAGCCCCTGGTGCAGGCCTGAGACGTTCACGCCCCTCTCATCCCAGAAGGCGGGAGGCAGCGGCACGTGCGTGCCGTGCCTCATGTATACAGACGCCACGGTGCGAAGCAGAGCCACTGAGAGGTCACAGGGACGCGAGGAGAGGTCCCTCACTGGAATGCCACCCGCTGCTCCTGCTGCCCCTACTGCTGCTCCTGCTCCTGTTGCCCCTACTGCTGCCCCTGCTCCTGTTGCTGCTGCAGTGTTGCTGGTTGACAAGTCGCCTGCAGCAGAGGAGTGCTTTGTGTGGTTCCGGCCTCTGGGCGTCCTTTCCTCCTCGTCTGCAGGGGAGTCGTGGGAGGAGGGCGCTGGGACAGTCTCAGAACGAGGAAACGCGGGCGAGCGGGCGGGAGCAGGGGAACGGCCAGAAGCAGGAGAGCGGGCAGAAGCAGGAGAGAAGGCAGAAGCAGGAGAGAAGACAGAAGCAGGCCCGAACCCACCGCTTTCTCCTCCCTCAGTCCCCTGCTTTTCTTCCACTCCACTGATGCTCTCCCCTTCCGCTTTTCCTCCACTAGCATCCCTTCCTCCCACACTCGCAGCCGCAAAGTCCAGTGAGCCCTGCTTCTCTGGAGACTCCACGACAGGGCCATGCCCCCCGTGCTGAGACTCTGCTGCCCCTGCTGGCCCTGCTGGCCCTGCTGGCCCTCCTAACCCGCCCGCCCCTGCTGTCCCATGTGCAGGTGGGGAGTCCAGGAAGTCACGGAAGCTTCCAGTGGCCGCTCGTTGCCGAGAGGGGGAAGGGGAACAGGGCGCACCACTCGCAGTCTCCGCTTCGTCACCTGCCTCTGCTTCTCCCTCTGTGTCTGCATCTGATTGTGCCCCTGCTTCCCCTCCTGCATCACTGTCTGCTGCCGTTTCTTCTGCTCCTGCTATGGATTCATCTTCTGCGCCTTCTCCACCCGTGTCTGCCCCTCCTGCACCAGCCACCACAACCGCGCCTGCCCCCATTGTCTGCGCTGCTTCTGTTGCCTTTCTCCCCGGTGATACAATGGCTTCTATGACTGCCGCACCATCTGCTGCATCGTCCGCAGCAACGTCTGCTGCTCGCCCCACTGCACTTTCTGCCACTTCGGTTTCGAAACCTTCTGCTGCCTCCTCTGCCTTTGCCTTTGCATGCGTCGTTTCTGCCCCAGCTGTTTCACCACCACCGCCCCCCACACCCTCAGCAGCAACAGCCTGATCTGTTTCATCAGCAGCCCAACCATTCAGTAACACCCCGTTACAATCAACTTCTTCTCTGCCTTCATTCATATCCCTATCCTTGCTCCCCTCTCTCTCTCCACCTCCCTCCTTGCTTTCCCCTCTCTCTCTGCCTCCATTCACATCCCTATCCCCAACCCCCTCTCCCTCTCCACCTCCCTCCTTGCTTTCCCCTCTCTCTCTGCCTCCATTCACATCCCTATCCCCAACCCCCTCTCCCTCTCCACCTCCCTCCTTGCTTTTCCCTCTCTCGCTGCCTCCATCCACTCCCTTCCCTCCACCTCTCTGTTTTCGCTCATCCACGTCTGAGTATCCATTCTGAACCGACTCCACGCTTGCAGCTCTCACCACAACATCACATCCAGGCGACCCCCTCCCGACCGGCCCCAGCGGCTGCTGCGTTCCCCAGCGCTCAGACTCCCCACTGCCAGCCCCATCCACCTGCTGAGTCCACCCTCCTTCTTCCAGCGCGTTAAGCTTGCATGCCTGTTCGCTCGGCCCAGCCACTTGGCCCCTCGCCTCAGCTACCTGCCCACTCCGCCCGTCTTCTTGCCTTGTCTGATTCTCTCCGTGGCCACCCAGCTTGCCTGCCTGCTGGGTCAGCTCATCTGCACCACCATTCGGCTCACCCAAACTACCATTCAGCCCATCCACCCTGCCGGCCAATACAGCATTTGCCACCTCTTCAGCTACAAAAGCTGCTGATTCCCTTCCTGCTGTGACCACTGCTGATTCCTCTCCAGCTGCAGCAGCAGCAGCTGTATACTCCACAACCATAGCTCCCGCTACTCCTGCTGCTTCGCTGTTTTTCACTTTGCCGCTTTTTCCCTCTTTAGTTTTCCTGCTCGATTTCACCTCCTTCTGTCCGGCATTCACTCCTTTACGCGCCTTCTCCGCCCCGCTGCCTCTCTTCCCTTCATGCTTCTTCTCTTCATGTCCATTCTCTTCATGCGTCTTCTCTCCCTGCTTCTTCGCTTTTTGCTTCCTCTCAACCGATTTCTCCTGAATCTGAATCTCCCCCCATTCCGCTCCTTTCTCCTCATTGAAACCATCAATGAAGAACCCGTTGCTGTTGCATTTATCCTCGCTATAGAGTACCCCATTTCCCGCGGGCTGGTCAATCGTGATGACAGGAACCTCTCTGGAAGTCTGTGTATCAGGAAGATTGTTGGTGAACACTTGCATGCTGAGTCGGCGTGCTCTGCAGTGTGGTGGGAAGTGAAGGGACAGAACAGGGGGGCATGCGCTGAGAGAGAACATTACCCATGCAAGAAGAACAAGACTTTAACATTAAAATGGAGCAATGATGTCTGTAACGAAGCGTTTTGTAACGAGGCTGTTTGTGATGGAGCTATCTGCACACTCACATCTGATTCGTCAGCACATTCAGTCGTTGCTGCAGCTGCAGCAACAGCTGCAATTGCTCTGTCTCCCCTTCCCCAACCTTCTCCACCTCCCGAACATCTGCCCGACTCTCTGCTTCCGGCCCTTCTTCCCCTGTAATTACTCTTTCTCCCGCGATCCCACCCCTCTCAACCGCATCCAGCTGCACAGAACCAGCTCCTGAACTTTCAGGATCCACCCTTCCTTGCTGCGCGAGTCGCTGCAAGGCCTGTAATTCTCCAGCCACCCACGCCACATGAGCGCGGACACTAGCACCACCACCACCATCAACAGAACCAACACCAGCACCATGCCCAACACCACCACCAACAGCACCACCACCGCCTTGCACTGCGCTGCAGGGCCAGTCATCGTTCGCTCTGAAACCGCCCCCTTTGTTGTCCCCATCCACGCTCTCCACCTTTCGCTTCACGGACCGCCGCCAAGAGCCCTCCGCATGCAGCTCCTGAAGTACCAGCACCTGCTGCTCCTGCTGCAGTAATGGCTGCTGCTGCTGCTGCTTCTGGGGCAGCTGATCTCGGTTCTGGCGGATAGACGACGAGGCAAGGCCAGTAACTGAGGTAGAGGAGGAGGGCAAAGGGGGTTCGGCTAGTTGCGACGGAGTGACAGGAGCGAGCAGCCTTCGCTCGTCCGAAGGAACCTTAGGAACCGCAGCGTCAGAGGCAGCCAGAGCCTGGCGTTCGGGAGGAGGAACCTGAAGATCCTCGGCCTCAGCGCCAGAGGCAGTCAGTGCCTGTCGCTCGTCAGGCCCTGCTGGTGGGCCCGCACGACCAGATTCAGACAATGTGGTGGTGGACTGTAGAGTCGCAGATTCTCTGCATCTGGACACATGCGAAGAGCGTACTGTCCTGCTCTTTTCTTTGCTAGGTAGAGACGACATGCCACTAGCCGACGCGCCCTTGTTCCTATTTGAAGACTTCAGGCCGCCCCGTGCGCCCGAGTTCCGCTTCTCGTCATCAGTCACTGCCGCGTGGTAGGTGTTTTCGCCTAGTGTAAACGACGGGTCATCATTGGAGCGCGCTCTAGGAACATGGTCACCAGAAGAGTGTAACAACCTCCGAGAGCGAGCTGCAGACTTTTGAGTCGACTCAGAAGTCACCTCGCTTGGTGTAGACGACGGGTCATCACTGGAGCGTGTTCTTGGTACATGGTCACCAGAAGAGTGTAACAATCTCCGGGAGCGAGCTCCAGATCCTGGTAACCGATTACTAGAAGATTCTAAGCTTTCGTGGGAAGGAGCTGCTGGTGCTGGTAACTGGTTACTAGACAATTTCGAGCTTTCGTTGGAAGGAGCTGCTGGTTGCTCGGGAGAGCTCAGACGCGCTCGGAGTGAATGTTGCAGTGACTTAGCTGGTGTTTTGCGTGAATCAGCTGTGGGACCGGGTGAGTCGGCGTGTATCGAGCTGTTGTCCTCAGGAACTCCGCGATCAGAGTGACCCGAATGCTGGATGTCACGCCATGGTTTGTGATGGCTGGAGGAAGTGACTGATGGCGATTTGGTCTTCTTTTTGGCAGACTTCCTGAAAAAAAACGAAATGGAGGTCCGTGAAACGCAGGAGGAAGAAATCGCTTTCTTAAAAGAACGCATGGACGTGACAAGCACGCTGGAAACCTCGTCGATGTCTAGCGGTAAGCACGTTCCAAGAGCCGAATTAACTAGAAAGACAGACACGGGACGTGGCGCCATCAATGCGACCGCATGAGCGCCACGCTGCGACAACAATGCGACGATAAGAACGCTGACGACATAAAACGCGACAACACGACGAACTGACAATGTGATACAGACGAGTCAGAAACTAACGGACCTCTGCTTGGTTTCGCCGGCCTGGAGCTCCATGGCAACTGGAGCGACACCGTCCATTGTATACCTCGCTGTCGAAGCTATTGTGAACCTCTGACGATCTGGTTTAAATTATTGAAAACATAGCAGGGCTTACTGCTTGTTTTTGCTGAGATGTTTCATAATCTGTACCTGACTCATCGTTTTCACAAAAAAAAAACCGTGCACGTTTTGATGCGCAACGCTATGACTCGAAGTAGGTCCGTTCAGCGACATAAGGCTCCTTTCTGTAACTCTCTTAGTGGTTAACGACCGACTAGCGAGAAAACATATGTACAAGGAGAACACGGCTCGAACCAATGCATAAGATGTTCCCTACGAAGACCTACCACGCGAAACCTATCAGATTTATCCAGAAATAAATTGAACTGGCAAGAAGGCCAGACAGGCAGGAAGAAGGCAGGATAGCTAGCGAAATGACAGTCAGCGATTGACCGACATATCTCCTCCCCTTCCTTCTCAACTGAGCTGAGCCGAGGCATCTCCGAGGAGAGGACTGCCCATGGAAAAATTCCTTGACACTCGAGAATTTCGGCTGCTCGAAGTTCTCTAGGTTTTGTGTTGTCAGGGACGTGATTGGTGGGCTGGGGAACCTCGGAAACTCCTGATTTGCTCAACTCTTGGTGCCAGGGGAGGGGAGATTTTCGCGCGGGTCGGAGGGACTCGGCAGAAAGCTTATCTGTGGGCGGGTTTCGTTGCAGGGAAAGATCGAGGGGCCGAACAGTGCCAGAGGGGTGATCGACCAGGGGTCAAGAGGCCCGGAACTTCCAAACCGCTGCGCATAGAGGGATTAACATAGGGTCTTCCTTTATTGCACGTAGTTATGTTATTAGTGGCATGTACCGGCTCGCATTTTCGCTCGCGTGTCGTTTAGCGAGCCGACTCTACTGGAAACTCTTAGGGCAGCCAAAAAAAACTACAACTCTTATGAAACCTGGATGCATTTTCGGGATGGGTCAACCCTAAAACGGATAACTTCCTGGTATTTAGGGTTGATGCCTCCCGAGTCGCATCTGTTTCCGAATGGGTAATATATTGTTTTCCAGTGCGTCTACGATCGGGTAGGTGATATTTATCACCCAGAATATACTATGTTATACGTACTCACGATTTGATCCGCCGAACTCTACTTCCAGAAGAAGGCGACGCGCGCGCTGTAGTAGACGGAGGTCAAAACCCTTAATTAAAAACATGAATACACAATTTGGTTCTTCTAGCAAATACCGTTTACTTCCGGTTCAGCTTGTTCGCCAAGTCGGTTGGGCAGCTCTGGGCTGAAATCCTACGGTCGAAATTTACCGGCCCTACTTTGAACACTCCTCTGGCAATGTTCGGCCCTGGTTGATCTTTTCCTTTCGTTGCATACCCATCAAAAGCTTTGAGGGAAATACTCGCTATAACGCGGAATTATTTAGATTGTGCAGAGAAGCTCGGACTGTAATATATCAAGTGCAGCTGACAAAATTCTTGCAGGTTTTTCCCCTTCCCCGTATCTCGTTTTCCTCTCTTTCCTCTCGTTCCTCTCACCCTCTGGAACAAGCAGAGCACGAGTACGGTTGTCGCGCGTCCTTGACCCGTCGTCGTCGTTCGTCACGCTCCCACCTCGCTTACTTTTGTTTCCGTCCTTACGTTTTAGAACTTTTAAACCATGGGCGCTCGCAGGGAGACGTTTCGTTGGGGAGATGCGGAGGAGGAAGAGGAGGGATTAGATTCCGTTCTCCCGCCTACGCAGACGATCGGACCCGACGAGAAGGGAATCAAGATCGTTATCGAGTGGCGTCTTAACGAGGAGGGCCAGCGCGTTAAGGTGACGAAGAAAATCCGCGTTAAGAAGCAACTCAAGAAGCTGAAGCCCGAGGTCATTCGCCGCCGGAGTCTCAAGAAATTCGGCGACGCGGTCGGGCAGGTAAGCGCCTTTCATTTGATCTCATCTCGCAACAAGACTGCTCTATTAGGCCATGTACTGCTGTTTTCTTAATTGGCGAGTCACGGCTTGCCCGCCGGATGATCGTCTTAGGGTTTAAGCAGCCTGACCCCTTTATCGAATCTTTCCGTGCTTTAACGACTGGCGGCTTTTCTGTGCAACGCAACCGCTCCTTCCTCCCGCTTTCCCACCTTAATTTCCTTTCTTTCTCTTCCCTAATGTCCCCTCCCTTCCCTCCCCTCTCTCCCCACCCCCCACTTCCCCACCCTCCCCGGGCGGCTCCGACAACTTCCCCATGGATCAGCGGAAGGATTTTTTTATCGAGCGGCACAAGGTGGCGCGTGAGTCGACTCAAGAATCGCTCCCTCACACCTTCCCGCTCCTCCCCACCCCTCTGCACCCCTCCGCATCGCTTCGAACCCTTTCCCACCACTCCCCATCCCTCCGCAGGTCGGCTCCGACAACTTCACCATGGTCTCCACAGAGGAGATTTTTCTCGAGCGGCCCAACCAGGCGCAGTCGAAGCAGGACGAGCAGGCGAAACCCTCCGGCGACCTGGCGGCGATCGGCAGCGCGTCGCTCATGGTGTGTCGCATCTGCGGCAAGAAGGGCGACCACTGGACCTCCAAGTGCCCCTTCAAAGACCTCGCCGCGGCGCGCGGGCTCGCCGTCGGGGAGAAGTTCGACGAGGACGGCGCCGCGCCGTCCGCCGCGGCCGGCGCGCCGTCCGGAAAAACCTCCTACGTCCCGCCGTCGCTGCGCGCTGGCGGCGCGGCATCGCGCGCGGGCGAGGACAGCGGCGGCGGCGGGAGGCGCGGAGGCGGCAGGGACGACAGCAACTCGGTGCGCGTTACGAATCTGTCGGAAGACACGCGCGAGCAGGACCTGCAGGAGCTGTTCGGGCCGTTCGGGCCTGTGTCGCGCATCTACGTGGCGTTCGACCGCGAGACGGGACTCAGCAGGGGCTTCGCGTTCATCAACTTCATCAACAGGTGCGTGCGTTGGGGTCCGCTCCGCTCCGAGTGCGTGGTGCACGAGCGCCACAAGTTCGTATCTTTAGGCGCCTCAAACGTGGACCGCGCAGGGCCTTCGCGTTCATCAGATTCATCAACAGGTGCGTTGGGGTCCGCCCCGAGTGCGGTGGGGAGGGTCCAGGCGCTTTGTGGGGCAAGGAGCGGAGTGTGCGGGGAGGGTTAGGCGCTTTGTGGGGCAAGGAGCGGAATGTGCGGGGAGGGTTAGGCGCTGTGTGGGGCAAGGTTCGTCAGCACGAGCGTCAACAGGTGCGCCAGCAGCTGTAGCAGCAGCTGTAGCATGAGCTGTAGCAGCAGCTTTAGCATGAGCTGTAACTGTGATCATCATTGAGTGAGGGGGGTCCTCAAGGGTCGAAGCGGCCACAACGGATTGTGAAGGGTCGTCGTAGCGGTTTCCAAGGGGTCGCAGAAGGGTCTAACGGTCTCTTGCGGTTCGTCAAGGATAATTGCATTTAGTCTCGTCAGGTACATGAAGGGTTATTGGTTTACTGCGTGGCCATAGAGGTTATCACGGGTCTGCTGCACAGACTGCTGCACAGGGCCGGTGCACAGGGTGCTGCACAGGTACATTGGTCAGTGTGTACAGTTCTTTCCTCACTTGTGTACATGCCTGTGATTCGCTTTCTCAAGTACCTCCCATTGTTGTTTCCCCTATTCCTCTGCGCCCATGGTTGTTTGTTGCTTGTTCCACCTCACCCGTGGTTGCTTCCCCCCTCTCTCATTGTTGTTTCCCCCGTCACACATGGTTGTTTCCCCTCTCTCTCATGATTGTTTCCCCATCACTGCTGATTATCTCCCCATTACTCATGATTGTTTCCCCCTATCTCACTTCTCCAATGCGTGTTTCCCCTTTATCCCCCTTGCCTGTGGTGCTTGTATGTTCAGGGAAGATGCTGTTCGAGCAATCAACAAGCTCGATGGTTACGGTTACGACAATCTCATCTTGCGTGTGGAGTGGGCCACACCACGAGCAGATCGCGGCTAGAATCCCTGTCTTTTTGTTTTCCTCCTCGAATTGCCTGTTGGCTGAAAGTCTGTGTCATTGTTCTGATTCTTTAACTCAAGCTGTAGCTGTGTTTTAGAATGACGATTTGCTGGATCCAATCAGGCCAGCAACGGTAGGTTGTGCTGGTGGGCCCAAATGGTCACTCAATTGTATAGGGGATTGGCATGGCAATGTACAAGCAGGGACGTCGATAGCAGACGAAAATGGTCTGATGGTCTGCAAATCAGACTCAAATTTGTATGTTCATCTGAGATTCAAGACAGGGTTTAAAATTTCATCTGAACTGTAAGATTTGTATTATATGTTCATCTGAAATTTAAGACAAGCTTATACGTTTCGTCTGGTTCGACAGACAGCGCGTTTTTTTCCGTCTGATACGGTACTGACAACCGTGCCCACTGGCCCACAGTCCCTACGGTCCACTGGCCCACTCGTCCACGACTCCACGCACTGTGGGTTGTGGGGCATTTACACCGCATTTATGATTCGGCGTGCCAGCGCAGAATGGATGTAACTGCCACACGGCTCTGGCAACTTCTGACTCAGAAGTTGCCGAGGTGCAGCGCACGCGTACAAGAAGACGACCTTGCACGGTGGCGCGATGCTGCCAGCGCATACGTGCTGGCAGGTGGCCTGCCATCCACCGTGAGGCGTGGGTGGCACCGACGTTCTGCCACAGTCAACCAGAGGGGGCGCGTCGCCATGGGATGAGGACGGAAAGGATGTGCTTCTTCTACCCTCGTCGCAGCTGAGTTCTCCAGCAGTTTTTGCCATCACACTAGCAGGAGCCTCAGCTCCTGGAGCACTCCCTTGTAAACATTCTCGCCTCGTCATGGCGTCCGATGGGCGCCATGAAGCACCACCCACAGTTCCTAATACTACCTCTCCCGTTGATTCCGTCGCTACCGAGAGGCGTACAGGCCTTGATTTCCTGACAGGGCCAAGCGTTAGGGCCAAACCTAGCCCCGCACCTGCAAGCGTCGATGTTCCAGTCACCCCCGATGCGCCATACCCCTTCGAACCTGTCAACAACAGCGACGACACTTTGAATGCCTCTTCCCCTCCGCCCTCGCCGCTCCCATCTTGCGTTGCCACATGCTCTCCTGTTCGCACCACTTCGGTTCCGTTGACATCACCCGCTGATGTGTGTAAAAACACTCGTGCTCCATTCCTTCCTCCGCGTTTTCCAGGCTCAAAGAAGTACAAGCAGCGGAAGCTGTCTTTCGGTCGGCATGCCACCACCGCACCACCTGCACCGGATGCTGAGGACAAACGTGACACGCGTGCAGCTCCTTCAACTGACGACGGGCCGTTCCCTCTGACTGTGGAAGAGCTCCAATTGAAGGCCAAGGAGCAGTGGTCACGGTACTTTCCGTGGCTAATAATTTCAGAGACCAGCGAGGGACGCCCGTGCATGAAGTGTACGATTTGCATTGCCTACGGCGACCCCGACTACAAGTACGGGAGGAATGGCGAAGGCGGGATTGACATCCAGAAGCAGACTATGCGGAAGCACCAGCACAGCATCAAGCACGAAGCAGCGCTCGAGAGGAAGGAGCTACGCGAGGGAAGAAACCGAAGCAGCCGTCGATTGCAGAGTTTGAAAAAGATGATCCTGAGTCTGAGCGCCTCTTCAAGTTGCTGTTAATCGCGCACTTCATTTGCAAATCTGAAGCTCCGATCGCCCTCTTTGTTTCCCTCGTTCAGTTCATGGCAGAGATGGGGACGCCGCATCTCCCATTGAAGGATCACGGCACGTACACGAGCAAGTAAGTAGTGTTTTAGCGTCCGCTTCATAAATATGTTTGGCCTATTACTAATATGCAATGTATGATGGTTTGGCAGGTACGGTTTCAAGCAGCTCATGGAGACGATGGTCTCCTACCTGAAGGCGCAGCAACTGCGACACATCCGTGAGAGTCCGTTCCTTGGGATTCAGCTTGACAAAAGCACCGACAGGCGGCGCGGGAAACATCTCATCGTGTACCTCACGTTTCTCAAGCATGGGGTTGTCGTCACAGAGTTCTTCGCCAACTTGTCCGTCGACAAGTGTGACGCGGCGTCCCTCATGGCGGTCCTGCTGACTCACCTTGAAGGGAATGGAGTGTCAGACTTATATGACTTAGCCTATGTAGGCTATAGTGGGGTACAACACATTTCTAGGGTTTGTACTTGTACCCAACCTTTTCCCTTAGTCATTCATTCCTCATTTCTTCACATGGTATAGAGCAGGTTCCCTAGTGGGAACGCTTCCTAGGACCCACCACTGAAAATCGAAAACTTTTTTTTTCTGCCCGGAGCGCGAGTCGCCCCTGCCCGAGGCGCGCCCCGTGGGCCGCCCTCTCGTTGCGTCCCCTGCCCTTAGCGGCCCGTCGCGCCCTCCTAGAGACCCCTCTCACGGCCCCTCGCGCCACCCCTAGCGGCCCCGTCGCCACCCTTCGCGGCCCGTCGCCGCCCTTCGCGGCCCGTCGCCGCCCCTCGCGGCCCCGTCGCCACCCCTAGCGGCCCCGTCGCCACCCTTCGCGGCCCCGTCGCCGCCCCTAGCGGCCCCGTCACCGCCCCTCGCGGCCCCGTTTCCGCCCCTCGCGGCCCCGTCGCCGCCCGTTACGGCCCCGTCGCCGCCCTTCGCGGCCCCGTCGCCGCCCCTATCGGCTCCGTCGCTGCTCCTCGCGGCCCCGTCGCCGCCCCTAGCGGCCCCGTCGCCGCCCCTAGCGGCCCCGTCGCCGCCCTTCTCGGCCCCTCGCGGCCCCTTCACGGCCCTGTCGCCGCCCCTAGCGGCCCCGTCGCCGCCCTTCGAGGCCCCTTGCGGCCTCTTCTCGGCCCCGTCGCCGCCCTTCGTGGCCCCGTCGCCACCCTTCCCGGCCCCTTCTCGGCTCCTCCGCCACCAGCAGCAGCAGCCGCCCGCAGCAGCCGCCGCCGCCGCCAGCAGCAGCCGACTGCAGCAGACGCCGCTGACAGCAGCGGCGGCCGCCACCAGCAGCAACCGTCGCCGCCGGCAGCCGCCGCCGCCACTGACAGCAGGAGCTGCCGCCGCGGTCACGGCTCTGTCCCTGCCGACGCGCCTCGGCCCTGCCCCACCGCTTGCCGGCCCCTACCTACCAGCCCTGGTAAGAGCACTGCCGAGTCACGCCTGCTACTGCTGCCCCTAGCCTGCTGCCACTGCTGTCATGGCTACCCCTAGCGTTCTAGTCTTTGATGCTGAGGGTCGGGCTGTTGACTTTGAGGTCTGGGTCGATGATCTACAGCTTTTCCTACAGTGCGATAGGAAGGACGGTCTCTCACTGTTCGATCTCACGTCTGGCGCCTCTGCTGCCCCTGCTGCCGATGCTGACAGCAATGTTCGCTCACAGTGGGCCACACGCGATGCTGCTGCCCGTCTTGCTGTGCGTAGTCACTTGCCGTCCACTGAGCGTGCGCACTTTAGTCAGTACAAGAGTGCTAAGACCTTGTACGATGCTGTAGTTGCACGCTACTCTTCCCCTGCCACTGCTGCCCTTAGCCGCCTCATGCTGCCGTACCTGTTTCCTGACCTCGCCGCCTTTCCCACAGTCGCTGACCTCATTCCGCACCTCCGCACTAGTGACACCCGCTACCGCGCTGCGCTTCCTGCTGAGTTCTGCGCCAAGAACCCCCCCCCCCCATGTACATCACCCTCTACTACATAGTCACCCGGCTCCTTGACTCCCTTCGCTCGGTCAGGGACCACTTCCTCTCTGTTTGCCCAACCACACTCACCGTTGACCTCCTCGAGGAGCGCCTCCTGGCAACTGAGAAGAGTATAGTCACTGTAGGAGCCTCTCGTGGTGACCCTTGTGCCCCCTTCTTTGAGGGGTGCTCCCCCTCCCCCCTTTTGCCCTCTGTTGCCTCTGCTGCTGCCGTCGACTTTGTTGGCACCGAGTCGGTCGGCGCTGCGTCTGCCCCTAGCGGGAGACGTCGCACCGGCAAGGGCAAGGGGGGCAAGGGCGCTAGAGGGGCTGGCGGGGGCGGTGGAGGTGGCGGTGGAGGCGGCGCAAGTGAGCAAGTGAGGCAAGGTAGGCACAAGACCCAGCTGAGTACAGAAGCGCTGATGATCACAAGGCGCAAGTGCCTTGGTGAAGATATCAGCAGTGTTGGCCTCAGAGGCCACGTACGCAAGCCGCAGCTGACCACGCTGCTGTAGCTCACGAGCAAGGAAGTAGCGGAGAGCAATGTGCTTCGTTCTGTGCTCCAGTCTCTGCTCTCGACACAAGGCCAGCATGGCCTTGTTGTCTACGTACAGTACTGGAGGAGAACGAGGCGGCTCTCCGAGGTCAGTCAGCAGGTAGGTGAGCCAGCGAAGCTCCTGTGCAGCCATGGCCCCGGCGTAGATCTCAGCCTCACAACTGGAGCCGAGAACAGAAGACGAGCGGGTAGCCCGCCACGAAACAGAGCCGGAACCAAGGCTGAAGGTGTAACCCTGTGACGACCGCTGCGTAGCCTGGTCGTCAGCCCAAGAAGCGTCTGCGTGCCCAGTGAGGACCACTGGACTCTGCCCTCCAAGCACAAGCCCCATGCCCGACGTACTGCACAAGTAGCGCAACACCCTCTTCGCTGCAGCCATGTGCTCCGGTCTGTGTCTCCCAGGAGCAACATAGCGTGCAAGAATGCTAAGAGGGTATGCAAGGTCAGGTCGAGTGCAGGTCATCAGGTACATGAGGCAGCCAACAAGCTCTGGGTACGGGCCACTCGACTCTACGGACTCATCCGAAGGCAGAGCTGAGAGCGAGTGACGAGTAGGCAGAGGAGTGGCCTGAGGCGAGGAGTACGTGAAGCCGAAGCGCTGAAGGACCTGCTGCACCATGTGTGACTGAGTCAGGGTAATGGTGCGGCGTGCTCTGTCCCGGGTGATCTGCAAGCCAAGGTAGCTGCGCAGTTCACCCAGGTCTGTGCACGTGTGTCTCTTCTGCAGCTCGGACTTCACGTGGGCGAGTCCAGCAGTGTCAGCTGTGGCGAAGACCAAG